GCACATGGATCTACTTGTTAAAAGGACGTGATGAAGTGCCACGGATAACCATGGCATTTTGTAAAATGATTGAAACTCAATTTGACAAGAAGATTAAGCAATTCCGTTCAGACAATGCTGCTGAATATTTTGAAAGTTCCTTGAACATGTTCATGGAGGATGTAGGAATGTTACACCAGTCATCTTGTGCTAGTACCCCTTAATAGAATGGGGTTGTTGAGCGCAAAAATATACACTTATTGGAGACAGCTCAAGCTTTACTATTTCAGCACAAGGTTCCCAAGCACTATTGGTCTCAAGCAGTCCTTACCGCATCATATCTAATAAATCGGATGCCATCTAAGGTGTTGGGTATGAAAACTCCTTTCTCTGTCCATTGCCCTAATCTTTCAGACTTTCCTCTTCCACCTAGAGTCTTTGGCTGTGTATGTTTTATTCATGTAAAGGATCCAAAGAAGACCAAGTTGGATCCTACAGCTACGAAAGGAATCTTTCTAGGGTACTCTCCTACACAAAAGGGTTACAAGTGTTATGATCCAGTTACCAAGAAGAAATACGTCACAAAGGATGTAGTATTTTTTGAGAATTCTTCAGGGGGAGACTAGTGGATGGAAGAGGATTCTTCTTCTCCCTCTTTTTTTGTGCCTCTTTCAGCCTCGGGCCATCCATCTTCTCCTCCAGATCCTCCTAGTTGTAGCACCCCAAGTGAATCTAGTGAGGCTCCCATTGAACATGTTACCAATCTTGATGTTGCGGATGTAACTGAGGACACTAATAGGCAACAAAAAGATATGAGAATCACCTACAACAAAAGAAAAAAAGACCCTCCAACTCATGGCAACAACCAATCGGACTCGGATCAATCTATCTCAACAACTCCAGGTAATCTTATCACTCATACTTCTGATTTGGATCTCCCTATTGCTCTTCATAAGCATCTCTCTTCCGTGCATGTCCCTACTAGGTACTCAGAAGCAATGTCTGACCCAAGATAGAGAGAGGTTATGAATGAAGAAATGAAAGCCTTAATGAAAGCCAGGACTTGGGAATTAGTGGATCTACCAGAAGGGAAGAGCACTGTGGAATGCAAGTGGGTGTTCACTATGAAGCATAGGGAGGATGGGTCCATTGAAAGATACAAGGCCAGACTAGTGGCGAAGGGGTTTACTCAAAAGGAAGGGATTGACTACAAAGAGACTTTTGCTCCAGTTGCAAAGCTCAACACAATCCGGGTTCTATTGTCATTAGCTCAAACTTCTCATGGGAGCTATATTAGTAGGACGTGAAGAACGCTTTCCTAAATGGCGATCTACATGAAGAGGTATTCACGAATCCTCCACCAGGTTATGGTTTTGATGGGAAAGTGTGTAGACTGAGGAAAGCATTATATGGTCTTAAGCAGTCCCCTCGAGCTTGGTTTAAGAAGCTCTGTGGAGCCATGAAGAAAGTGGGATACACTCAAAGTGGTGCAGATCATACTTTGTTCATAAGGAAGCAGGATAGCAGATTTACGGCACTCATCGTCTATGTGGATGATATGGTGATTACAGGGAATGATCTAGAAGAGATAAAACGATTGAAGGAGTTCTTGGCATCTGAGTTTGAGATCAAAGACTTGGGCCATCTGAGATACTTCCTTGGAATTGAAGTTGCTAGGTCACAAGAGGGCATYTATATATGTCAACAGAAGTACGTCCTTGATCTTCTAGAGGAGACAAGTATGATGGGGAGTAGACCAGCAGATACTCTAATAGAACAGAATCATTGTCTACAGGAATCAGTTGGAGAGGACTACCTCGATAAAGAGAGATACCAAAAACTGGTAGGGAAATTGATATATTTGTCTCTCACTTGACCAAATATTGCTTATGTCGTACATGTTGTCAACCAGTTCATGCACTCTCCAAAGATTCCTCATATGAGAGCAGCGGAAAGGATTCTTAGGTATTTGAAGACTTGCCCAGGAAAAGGAATTTTGTTCAAAAAACACAATAAAATTGAAATTGAAG